CTCTTGACCATCACTCCCGCATATAGTCAATCCTCAACAACAACAGCATTAGTCAACTTTATAGAAAACAAATTAGTTCATATAACTTTCCTGCTATACCCTGAAAGAACTGCCATTTCCATTAGGACTCTGGCCTACTTTATTTTACCTCATGACCAGCCCTGCCCAGCCCTTGCACAGCCATACCAGTCCGCTCCTCCTTTCTTCCTCGTCACCCACGCTGGTCTTCTGTCCATTTTTTGCAAATGACAGCCCCACCCCGGGGCTGTTGTACTTGCTGTTCTCTCTGCCAAGATCTCTACCCATCTTCTTCATCTCATACAGGTCAAGCTCAGTGTCACTTCTTTGTCCCTCTGTGTAGAAGGGCCCTCCTCCGTCAATACCGTCTTTGCTGTTCCCTGCTTTGGTTTTATCACAGTGCTTGTCACACTAAGCCAGCCCCGCCTAGACCAGAATTCCTCAAAGGCAGGACCTTAAAACTACCTTATTTGACAACTAGATCTATGACACATAAAATAGTGTCTAGTATAGCCCTGGCCAGTTTGGCTCAGCGGTTAGAGCGTCGGCCTGCGGTCCGGAGAGACCCGGGTTCGGTTCCCGCTAAGGGCACGTACTTCGGGTGCAGTTTGTCCCCGGCCCTGGTTGGTCGTGCGGGTGGCAGCCACTCGATGTGTCCGTTCATGTCGATGTTTCTCACTCTCTCTCCCTTCCTCTCTCTCCCTCCTACTCTATCTGTACAAAAAATGGAAAAATATCCTCGGGTGAGGATAAAAAAAAAAAAAAATAGTGTCTAGTATACAGTAGACACACGACAAATACTTTTCAGATTTGTTGAATTATCAGCATGAAGTTGAAATCTTCTAGGACAAAGGTGAGAGTCAGGGCAGGAATGAGGGTCAATAGCACGTGAAAAGCTGAATAGAGTGGCACTTTACCATTTGTAGAGAAAGTCTGAACTCTAACATGCTAAGAGTTGTTGCTTCATTGAGAAATTTGGGGGCATGGACTCAGTATTAAAATATGCTGTATATTTAATTTTAGAGTTGCAGGTCATTATGATCCATTAATAGGGCTTGCAAGTATCATTTGTGTCATCCTCAGTTTTGCAAGAAGAATGTTTTACTATTACAAGATAAATGTAAGTAGCATAGGAAGAACTAATTAGGTATATTTTTCACGCTCTGTGAACCATATCTGGCGTGGTTCCTAAGCATGTGGAATTAGTGACAGGGGAAAAAATGTAAATATATAGCTGATGCAATGAACGTCAAAAAATACGTTTCTCTGTGCAGCGTTCGTCATTTTAATCCACTCCACCTATCCCAACAGGAAATTTCCCAAATTTGTGATGTCTCCTCGGTGTTTTAGAAGGAAAAAAATAAGAATTTATCTGGTATTAGGAAGCTGACCTTGTAAATTGGAATGTAATTGGAACGAAAATAAAAGAGCTGAGCTAAGACAAACAGCCTCAGTGTTTTATTTATAAATTGTTCATATTTAACTAGGTGATCGTGTAGAACTCTTCAAACTCCTTAGTTGTCCAAGTACATGAGAGTTAAATGCAAGGGGGTGAGCGGATCAGCCACTATTTTACCACTGACACTGGGCAGATGTTTATTAGATTGGCTTGATGAGGAAGCCGAAGTGACTGTCATTAGCATCATTAATGTCTGGGTTATTGACTGTGCCAGCTCTGGAGAGCCACAGAGAAGCTGTACACAGCCCCAAGTGTAATATGTGGGGTTCTCGAAGTGTGGTCCCCAGACCAGCAACATCTGGCCACTTGTTGGAAATGCAAATTCTTGGGCCCCATTCTGGACCAGCTGAGTCAGAAACTAAAGGTGGAGCCCAGCCGTCTGTTTAACAAGCCCTCCAGGTTAGGGGGATGTTTACTGATATTTGAGAATATTGATATAAATGAATAATATCAGCAGTTCAAGTGCTGAAATGTAGATCTTAACAAAGTATAAAAAGACATTTGGATCTTATCTCGTGAATAAGAGTTCAAAATTAGGAAGATTTTCCAGGAAGAAGAAACAGTATGTGCAAAGGTCGGGGAGGCGCGGAAGACCAGGCTAATCCTATGACTCACAAGGGCTGGGTGGGCGTGAGCATCAGGGCATCCTTCCTCCTCTCTGCCACATGGTGCTGGCAATGAAGACACGGAGCAAGGGTGAAGGTTAAACAAATAAATAAAAACGAGAGCCTGTAAATTGGCAGGCTGCGAGCCAAATTGTGCTGGCAGATGTTTTGTATTTGTCAGACACAGTATTATAAAAATAGGCTTGATCTGACATTTAATGATTAGTAGTTTGGACTTTTTTTTTTTAATCTGTATTTTGTGTTTCTCTTAAAGAGTTGAACTATGCGGTCACATTTCATCCACATTTCTCCACAGTAACAAAGTGCTGATGCTACTTTTGGTTGAATCGGGTTTTCTCCATTTCTTCACATACTTTATGTAGAATCAGGTTTTCCCCATTTCTTCACAGTCCCCACCATTCCCTTTTATTTCCCCAGTAATCACTACCCTTGAACTGTTCTGCATAAATAAATGAGTCTCTATTTTCATGTCTCAGTGAAAGAGGAGAACATAAAAGAAGGACCAGGGATGCTGCGTCTTTCAAAACAAGTGGGAAAGAGCACTTAAAAGAATAGAGAGACTATTTCTACATGTTTGGTACAACTTGCAAAGAAATTTATAAACCAAGTTTAATAGAAGTAAAAATGAAAAAGTAATCAACACTGTCTTGGCAAGAGTTCATAAATGAGGGCTGTTTCTTCACAAACAGCAAAGGGTATTGAAGAATGAATAGGAGTTTTCCAGATGAAAATTAACACTTTTGATAGTCTTAGGCAATTTATTATTTTGGAACTGTGCACTTTTTTCTGTATTTAAAATAAATGGATAATCTTTTGTCACAAGCCACATATTATATGACTATAATTATTCAAGGCTATGTTTTAATTATCCTAGGCTGAGGCCCTCTTTGAGCCCAGGGGTACCTGGAAGTTCTTTTTAATAAGGAGTTAATGCTCAAGGCTCAGTGCAAAGCCATAGCCACTTTCATTTGAAAAGGAAGAGTGGAGATACATTTCATAAATCAAAAGCCCAGGGAACAAATAGTTAACCCAATATGTTCTGAGCTTTTCTATGCTTCCTTGAGGGGGTCCATTATGAATGAATACTTGGCTAGGTCACTGAAATATTTAAAGATGAGAAGCAAAAAGCATCAGAATCTAACCTTGTGTGCATGTATGTATATGTGGGTTTTGTTTTGTTTTTTTGCAAACCAGCACATTCCTTGAAAAGGGTAAAGCAAGGTAGCCTTTCTTCAGAAATCTGGCTGGTTGCCTAAACAGAGGCAGAGGTGACAACATTCCTGCCTTTAGCTAATTGAGAGACACCCTCCAGTTCCAGCAGTGGCTTGCTGTCCAAAGGGGGAGGTCACAATTCTGATCTGGGTGGAGACAAATTTCTCATTGCGGTGCCCAATTATGGGTCCTGATGGCTTGTGCCAAGTACAGCACAGGTGAGTTAGTGTACACCTGCTGGAGAGGCCCCTGTGCCAGGGACATGCTCACAGCACCACTCAGCCTAGTCTGTTTGTGCTTTTGTCGTCAAGTGTTTTGTGACTAGACAGGGAGCATGTAATGGCATCCCCTCATAGCTGGAGGGCTGGAAAGAGGATGTAAGTGTGGTTACTGCTGACAGCTAATGGAACATCACCGTTAGAGCCGGTAGAGGAGACGCTGCTTTTGGATGTCAGCTACTTTGGTTCCCATCCCAGAAAATTTCTCATAGGGAACTGATTGATCTTTCAACAAAATGACCAAATCAGCCAAGTTGTTTCTACCCCTTTCATTTCAGTCCCTCACTCTTAAACCGCGATGACAAATGGCAATTGAAAGGTGAAATGTTTGCTGGGCAAAAGCAAACAGGAGAGTGGATGTCCAAGGTCCTTGCTATCACCCCCTCTTCTGCAGAGAGAGCAGTGGATGTCTAGGGGAAGAGAAGGAAGAAATGAAAGCTGTCACATACGATTTGCATGCATCTGAACACATATTGGCTTTGGAGATTTACGCCAACTCAGCTCAAGGTGGTTCATGACATATGCTCATTAACTTACGATTGCACCTTCATCTTATAATGTCAATAGAGACCACTAGAAATAGATTTGAGAATAATAGAAGAACATAAGAATAAAATAAAAATTTTAAATAAGAAACGACGTGGCCAGTTCGGCTGCATCTCCTACCATCTTTTGTCTCCTGGGCCATGAATGCTCATGCTTCCTCAAGCTCCCTTGGACTGCAAATTCAAGCTCTATACTTAAAGCTCTATTGAGCCATTTAGTTCCAGCCTCGGCTCAGGAAACTTTTCCCTGAGTATCTGCAATTTACTGCAATTATTGTATTATAATTATCCAAGTATGTAACTGACTTCTCAACAGTGAGCTACCTCTTTTTCCCCCATATATATTCAACCAATATATATTGAGCAGTAATGTGCCACACGATATTCTAAGTACAAAGAATACAGAGGGGAGAAGGAAGGAAATATTAAATAAGTAAACAAATAAAGGAACTGATTATTTTAAATGTCAGTAAGTACTGTGCTACAGGATTCAATCATTTAGAGGTGAAGCGGAGGCCAAGGAGGCTTCAGAAGAAACTGAGTAATACTGCCCATCAAGTGAGAGCATTCTGAAATGAAAATGACCCAAGGAGGAAGGAGTGTTCAATTTTATCAGTTGCCTCTGCCATTTGCTTGGGTACCGGAAGGCATTGTGGATCTTAATCAGAGTATATTGGTGGGATAGTGAGAACAAAGACCCTCCTGGAGGAAAGGTGCAAAAAATACAAAGATGGCATCCTGTTTCATTTACCTTTGTACTATTATTGTAGCTCCAGTGTCTAGTACATAGTAGGCACATAATTGTTGACCAACTTCCACTGCGGCAGCCATTGAGGAGCAGCAGACTAGCTCTGAGCTGCCCATGGCCATGGGCCTCCACAGGGGCCACGGGGCGACCGAGAATGTGAGAAAGCAGAGGCACAGCACATCACCAAGCACCGAATTCATACGGGACATGATCCCAGAGGTGTGTGGCTTTGCCCCCTATGAGCGGCGTGCCATGGAGCTGCTCGAGGTCTCTAAGGACAAGAGGACCCTGAAATTCATCAAGAAAAGGGTGGGGACGCACATCCGTGCCAAGAGGGAGAGAGAGGAGCTGAGCAATGTCCTTGCAGCCGTGAGGAAGGCAGCGGCCAAGAAGGACTGAGCCCCATCCCCTCTATAATAAAACCTGTTGATAAGTAAATAAATAACTATTGACCAAACACATGAATTTTCTGGTCCTCTGTTCCAGCCCATGTAGGTTTGAATTTTATTTTTTGACTTCATCATATCCTACATAAGCACGTCTCACAGTCATGACATTTTGCAGTGCTAATTTATTTGCACGAACATCTCCCCCTACCCAACAATACATTCCATGAGGAAAGAGGGTCTGTCACATTCATTTTTGTGTCCTGAGAATGTAGGACACAAAATATAGCAGTCATCTGGTTAATAAATATTGGATAAAAGAGTATTTATCAGATAACAATAATATTTGCCTCTTTTTTTTCTTTCTTTCTAAAATTAGCTAACAATCTCACACCAACCTGAAGAATAGCCTAAGCAGAGGTCATGTAGAGAGGAGGTTTTAAACAGAATGAGGCTTTGAACGATACAAGGAGAAACTTACACATGAGAGATGTAATAGAACAAAGTTGCAAAGGTACTCAGGGCACCCGAGAAACTGTAAGCCCAGAAACAATCTAGAAAAGTCCTTTTATACATAAGTCACTCTCTGTCCCTCTGTCTCTCTGACAGCCAGCTCGGTTCACTGCTTCCCCACGCCCCGGACACCTTGGACGAGCGGCCGGGCCCTGACTCAGCCGAGTGGCCCGTCCCGCCGCTCCCGCAGCAGCTGCAAGCTCTGTTGCCCGCAGCACTGAGCCAGCTGTCGCCGTCTGCATTACACCACAGTCATGTGAACAACTGGAAGCAATAATGTGTCTCCCCATTTGCCTAACAATACCAACATGGACAATAACTCAGAAGACTGAAGATTTGTGCTGTAATTTAATAAACCCCATGCACATTTCTACAATTGAGTATCACATCTGTGCAATGGATCCTAGAAGTATAATATTCTTTTATAAGGGACCATTAACCAATCTTAAGTTTATAGGTTTCCTTAAATCTTTTTCATCAGCTGTTAAACTACAGTAAAGAGAAAATTGCCTCTTATGAGATAAGGGATAGTAAAATACAAAGACTGTGATTAAACGTCAATCAATTAAGGATTATAATATAATAAAATGCTGACTGATGATTAAAATGAGCACATTCCAGGAGAATTGTATAAGCAACATTAAGAAATATTTTTAAAAGTCAGGAGACTAAACTTCACTGAGATCACATTATCTATGAGTGTTTTGCTCTACAAGTAAAAAATGTTTGCAAGAATTATTCTTCACGCACATAAGTCTCAAAATTGGCATTGAATTTCTATGCTAAAAAGTATTATTTTAGCTTCTCATTTTACTATTCCCCAGTCTCCACAATTTTAATTTCTTTTCTAAACAGAATAAATAATAGTATTTTTGCTTCAGCTAGTTTTCCACCAGTGTGTACAGCTGAGCAACAGTTTATGAAAATGGGTTGCGTAGTAAAACCACCAGACAAACAACATTGTAATTGAGGTAACAAAACACTGACGAGAACGTAGGGCCCCAGAAGGAACTCTGGGACTGTCTGTAACACCTCACCATCTAAGCCTTTCTGAAACGGTTCCTTAGAGAATTTCTTCCTCTGAAGGTCAGAGCACGCTTCTGCCTAGGAGATCGCCCACTGCCAAAGTAACCAAAGCGACCGCTGTATGTCTGCCTTCCACCGGCCATGCGTCTTCTCTATCAGCATCTTCATCTGGGCTAGAGTGGTGATGGAAGACCTGAGCTAACTGCATCAGGCTGGGCGCCTAGCACACCAGAAAAGATGGAGAGGCTTTTCCCTCTTTGCTCTGGCTGTCATATTTTTTTCTCCAAGTATATTATTAGCAGGAGGCCATTTTTCTCCTGTGCTGAGCTGCTCCTTGCTCAGACTTTCTCTTCCATATTGCCTTCCCAAAGCAATTTTCCTGCTACACTGTTTGTACCTGGTCCCTTTGGAGCTCCGAAGGCATTCAGACTCCTGCCAGTTTGCAGGGAGCATTTTGAAGCTTGTTGCAACAGCTGGCTTATATGAGCCTTGAAGGAAAAGCATGCATACACGTGGCAGCACAATTGAAGCGCTAAAGCAGCTGGCAAAGTAAGCAGAGACCAAAAGGTGCGGGTCGCTCACAGCTTTGCTGGAAACTGCATTGGAGGAGCCTTCAACAGAAGACAGAAGCATAGTTAATGGATAAATCCCAGTGCAGCCCGGCTTCTGCCCTTGTCACTCTATGGAAACTACTCTGATGAAGGTCACCAAAGACCTTCTCATTACCCAGCTGGATGGATGCTTTTCAGTCAATGTTTTCCTAGGCATCTCTGCTGAACTTGGCAGGAGGTTTGAGTGATATGCCGAAAATCACACACTCACTAAGTAACAAAGCTGAAATTTGAAACAGGTAGGTTTAATCTTAAACTCAAGATCTTCCCATTGAACCCTGTTGCCTAGTTGTTCAACGTTTCGCAGATATTATAAAGAAAGGGTGTGTGGGAGAAAATGACTAGTGGACTATATACTCTTATTTTCTCTCCTTTGTAGAACAGACTCAACATGACAGTAAAAATATTTTAAGAAAGTATAAAGCCACATGGACAAAAAGGCAGAAGAAGACAAGAGACTCCAAGAGATTTTTGAAAGACAGAAATAGGAAAATACCCAAAGTGCATGCATGGATTTTAAAAATCAATGATTAATAGCTAAGATCGATCTATCTATCTATCTATCTATCTATCTATCTATCTATCTATCTAACTATCATTTAAAGAATGCAAAAGAAACAAACCAACTTGCCCAGCAGAACAAACTCTAAGGACACCAAGTCCAAAGGGAAGTGTAGGTGAGACTTGGATGAAACAAAGAAAAATGAGTTGAAAGCCTATAGAAGCAGGAGCTGCTGCCCTGGATCACCTCCCTTTCCCTATAAAACAGTCACTATACTCCACTATCCCAGGAAGAAAGTAGAAATCTTGGCTACTAAAAAAAAATCTAACCAGAAAAACTTCAGACTGGAGCACAGAGATGGCTTAAGTGAAGCTGAGACCTGAGGAGATGAAGGGCAAGTGGAATCTGCACCATCAACAGTGGGGTTTCCGCCTCTTCGCCCTGTTCTACAGCTCTGCTTCTAGAGCCTCTGTACTCAGGCATACACCGTTCTCTCTCCTGTACCCCTCATTCCTAGATTTTCCCTGGAGAGCCGAAATGCCACAAAGACGGTAGGAATTCTGTACATGAAAAAGCCTGGTTGCTGTCTAGACACCACATGACGCCGTGGACAAGACTCACTCCTATAGACAGAGCTTCCAATGAGCTCTGTATTTCTGCTTATGAATTACGAACCAATGGCTGCTAAGTCATTCCTTTAAAACAAAAAGGCAAAAAATAAACAAATACAACATAATCACAAATAAACCAAACAAGGAAATCTCGATAACACTTATCAAGGCAAGGAGAAGAAGAGACTTAAGCTAATGTCATCACAGAGACAGGAACATTGACTTCACAGAATAAAACTCCTAGATAACAAGAAAGAACTCAAATAGTCCAGATGATAAATGCATTAGAAGAGTTAGGAGATAAATGCAGAGAGATTAATCAAGGTGTATAAAAGGGCAGGTATTGAAAAATATGAGAAAATAGTTCAGAAAATTAGAGATTAGTAGCAATTTACAGATAGTAGGTCCAGAATAAGCAAAACAAGAAACATAGAAATGATCAAATAAATAAAAAAGAAAAAAATTTTCCCAAACAAATTTGAGTTTCTAAATTGAAAGAATCCATCACTCCCCAACACACACACACACACACACACACACACACACACACACACACAAGTACACCAAACTTAAACCAGGTCCATTATTATGGAACTTTAGAACCCTGGAGATAAAGAATGGTATTTAAAGTGTTAGATATGATAGATCGATAGATGATAGATAGATAGATAGATAGATAGATAGATAGATAGATAGATAGATGATAGAGTGAATATCATAAAAAAGATGAGGAACAGTGCTACACAAGACTTCCCAACAGCAATACAGGAAGTGAATAGACCAAAGAATAACGCTTTCAAAATTCTGATGGAAAATTATTTTTTTGTTATGATACTATACCATGTGCTCCAAAAAAATGAAGCAATAAATCAGGATCAAACCCCAAGAAGGGCATCAGAATTTTTCCAGAATAAAGCAACAGCCTTGTTGAACGCCAGAAAGCAACCAGAGAACACAGGCTGTGGGAGGGAGGTCTCCAAGGCAGGAAATGGAAGCAATGCCTTATCTATTGGATTATTTTGAAAATATATTAATAGACATATTGAAACATTTGATCAAAATAAATGAGTGCTGTTTTTATGGAAAACTAAGCAAATGAAAAATGATGCATTTGTTACTCAAGGAAAAAAGCCAAAGTTAAAATAGAGAAAAAAACATTATCAAAGTGTACTCCTTGGCTCAGGAATGAAAAGTAGTCCCATTTCTTAAGGAAACGTTACAAATCTAAGATAGAGAAGTTAAAACCTCTTCATCTACCCCTGCAACAGGAGGTAAAGAAGATAATGTTTGATGAATAAAGAATTTGCAACATGAGCCTGCTCCTTGGAAGAATGAGGCTAAATATTAAACACCTGCAAAGGTTCGCAGTGTGGCCTTGGCCTGGTGAAAACTCCGGCAGGGGATATTTTTCATTATAACTCGTCTGGTAGTCTATGATTTTTAAAAAAACTATATGCATATGTTCTTTTTATGTAACTAATAAGTAATTAAATTTTTTAAATGTTAGAAAAATACCAATAATATCTAGGTTTTTTTGTTTTGTTTTTTTTGCTATATCCTTCCCAGTGGGGCATGCTCTAGGCTCTTCTGCTTGGGAATCACCAAGCTTTGGGAGTAAACGCACTGTTCACCAGCCATTGGAAATTTGGCCCCTTTTCCAGTTATTTTGCAATGCTCACTAATAACTAAATATTCAAGCTGTATGCGTGTGCACCCCTGTGTGTGCATTTAGAGGTTAGTGACCAAGAAA